GGGGGGGGGGGATAGACGCTAGCAGCAGTGAAGAGCTTGACATACTTTATCTTTTACACAACCAGCTAGCTCACCAGGGCAACATCAACACTAATACAAAAAAAAAAAAAAAAAAACTTAAAAAGCAATTCTAACCAGGTTAAACCATCTTGCGTGAAACAATTCTAAAATCATTATTTGGCGCCCTTGTCTGTATTGGTGTAGCCATGATTAATTGTGAGAAAATCCTAGAGTGTATCAACATTTATTTTATAATTTTTCGTGCATTTTTATCACAGCGTGTTTATAAAAAGTTTTTTTTAATGATTTCAGTTTTGTAATTTTAAGTCTTTATTACCGTTTATTATCATTACTTATGGCCTGGTTATATTGTTATAGGTGGTCCAAAATGGAGACTGCTGCTAACCTGGTGATCATGCAGCGTTTTACTGTCATCGAGACTGAGTGGCCATCAAAATTTTGAGTCCATCCGATGAAGGGAAAAGGTCAACTATAGAATTTACAAGATTTGACTGATACAAATAAATATGCAAAATTGCATAATTAAAGCGAATTTTTAAAAATTACAAACCCTAAAACCGAGGTGTTTCGTATAAATCATTTATAAAATGTAATAGCAAGCAAACTTGGGTTAAGGCTGAAAGTTTGACAAATATTTATTCAAGTTCAAGTAACGCACTTAATTAGAATCCCAATTTCATAGTTTTTAATCATTGGCAAAGAGTATATGTGCCAAGGCTCAGCTCGGTGGGTTGACGAGAAGTGGGTCAAATAGCCGTCCGAAGATTTTGCAACCCAGGCAGAAAAATTTGACAAAATATGCATTCAAGTAAAGCTCTTTATAAGAATCTTCAATCCAGCTATCCCCCCCCCCCAAACCAGGCTCGCAACCGCATATTTTTTTCACGCCCCCCCCCTCGTGAATTATGTTAATATTTTAAAGTCCCAACCACATTTACACCGCATATGTTTTTTAAAGAAAATGATTAGTATTTTAAAATATTCTTTTTTTTTTTTTTTTGATCTCACAGCCATTGTCAGTTAGGAGCTTAAACCCCAAAAAATTATTCAATCTATTTTCAAGCCAATTTTCAATAAGATATAGTAAATATCTGCAATTCTCTTTTATATCTTAAGGGCCCACGATCAATGTATTGATCATTCTGGCTCCTATTTATGTAGAGGGGATTTGCCATATTTCAGTGCCTTGTATTGAAGAGGGTATTGCACAGGTTGCAAGGACTACTCTGTGAGAGTATCGGGAACTGGGAGGTGGAAGGCCAGAGGCAATAGACGCAAATATGTCAAGTGTTCCTTTTGGAAGCTGGTTCCATTCCTTGATTGTCTTTGGCAGTAATGAGCAGTTCCTGTAATGTGTTCTTACTTTTATGAGCTGGAACTGCCTGTCGTGGCCTCGTTGCTGTAAAAGGTGGTGGGACGACGAGTTTATGTTTAATGCTAGAGCAGTGGACCAGCCCATTATGTATATTGTACATCATAGAGATCCTAAATAATCGTCATCTTTACTCCAATGGTTACCAGCCCAATGTTCCAAGCATGCTGCCACCACGTGAGATGTTTTTTTAGCAGTTCAGGACCAAGCGTGCTGCCCGTTGCTGGACCGCCTCAAACCTGTCGATGCCTCTCTGGTTGAATGGATCCAAGACCGAAGATGCGTAATCAAAAAAGCGGTCAGACAAACGCTCTATATGTTTCTTCGATCACGCTGTACTTGCCGATCTTTAGATTTCGCCTTAAGAGTGTGTTGCTTAAATAAAATAAGATTGATTATTTTGAAATAACTTTTTTATTATTCTATTTTATTTTTATTTTCAAAAATATTTTTGAGCTTGATTGGGGGGGGGGGGGGGTAAAAGTTTGTACACTTTAAAATGGATGCTAT